GGGCGTTTTTAATTGCTTTTAGCTTGTTATCAGTGGGATGGATTCCTTGACTATCGAGAAGGTATCCAAGGAACTCCACCCTCTCAGTACACAGTTGACATTTATTTTTTTTAACCTTCAGGCCGGCGTCTTTAAATTTCCATAGAACCATTCTGAGATGCTTTTCTAAGATATCTCTATTGGGGGCGGCGATTAAAACATCATCAAAATATGGCACGACCCCTTTTATGCCTTGTAAAAGTCTCTCCATCAAACTTTGAAAAATTCCCGGAGCCACGCTCACTCCGAATTGGAGTCTATTGCACTTAAAAGCGCCTCTATGCGTAACGATAGTTTGTGCTTCCGCAGTTTCTTCATCTACGGGCAACTGTTGGTACGCTTGTGCTAAATCCAATTTAGCGAATATCTTCCCACCACCCAGGGAGTGGAGAAGGTGTTGAACCACCGGCACCGGGTACGCACTCTGCTGAAGTGCGTGGTTCAAGGTGGCCCGATAATCCCCACAAATTCTTAACGATCCATCTGGTTTAATGGGTGTTACAATTGGGGTTTCCCAACGGGCGTGGTCGGTTGGTTCTAAAACACCCTGGGCTATTAATTTATCGAGCTGCTCGTCAATCTTTGGTTTTAGCGCAAAAGGCACCCGACAAGGCTTAAGGCAGATGGGAGCTACTTCAGGATTAAGGTTAAACGATATTGGGGTCCCCTTGTACTTGCCTAGCTCTTCTGAAAAAACGTCCTGGAATTCTTGGACAAGAGACTCCTCCCAGTCGTTGCTCTCGGCTCGGTGGACGCCGGCTACCTCGATCCCGAGTGGGGTGAACCATTGTAGGCTTAATAAGCTAGGCCAGTCACGGTCGACGACGGTCAGCAGTAGTGATGCGATACGATTTTTGAAGGAGACTTGGACTTGGCTGGAACCGACGGCCGGGATTCTGTTGCCCTGTTAATCCTTGAGTATGATCATTTGGGGGCTGAGGTCCTGACGACGGATGGCCGGGATCAGTTGTTTGAGGGTCTTCCAGGAAACCATCAAGAGAGATGACCCCGAGGCGACTTCCATCACGCAAGGTTGGTTCTCGATGGCGACCCTCACTCGCCGTTGGTGCGCCGTTGTTGAGTGCCTCTCGGGGCGAGGCGAGGTATCATTCGCGAGTTGACGGAGCAGTGCGTTGGTGCGGCGCATTCGAGCGGCTGACTTCCTGGTTGCTTCTGCGGCGGTAGCGTCTGCGATGGCATCGGCAAGATCGATGTCCCCTTTGGCCATGATCTTGCTCTGCACCGTGTGGTCATCTAATCCCAGAACTATGCGGTCTCGCAAGGCTTCTTCGAGGTTTGAAAACCCACAGAGGCCACCCAAGTTCCGGAGGTCAGCGATGAAGTCTGCAAGACTTTCGCTTTTCCGTTGGTCACTCTGGTAAAACTCGTGCCTACGGACAAGTGTTGGCACTGCAGGTGCATAGTGGGCCTGTAGAAGGGGCGCGAGGGTGTCCCAATCCATCGTTTTCACCTCAGCCGGTTTTGCAAGTGATTTCGCCATCTTAAATACGGCAGGCCCGCAATGGGTCAGGAATATTGCTCGCTTCTTGCCGGTCGTAGCGTCCTTTAAGTTATTGGTCTCCAGAAACATCTGGAACTGATCCATATACGAGTCCCAGTCTTCGTTTGCCGGGTCAAATGGAGCGGGTGGTATAGCACCGCTGGCCATATTGCCGTTGTTGGTGCGCCTTCAGCCACGTGCTCTGTTTGGTGCTCTGTAGTGTTCAGTCAGCTCTGTTGTCTCCGCATCCCATCCTCATCGCCAGTGTTAAGTTCTGAGCATGGGCACAAGGAACAGAGACGAGGCAGAGAACTTGTGAACTTCAACTCTTTATTAACGATTAAGAACAGAGCAAAAACCCTGGGCAGCAGCAGCTCTTTTATAGAGCTGGCTGCTGACCCGTTAACCAATGATTTGCGTTCAAACGTTTAAATTGTACCCAATGAGAGATGTTCAGCTAATAGCCAATCAGGCTGCTCCGTGAGGACCAATCCCAGCTCGCTATCCATGGGCCAATCAAAGGTGCAGGATTACGAGCCTGCTTTTCTTGTACTGTTGACAAGTTTTTATTAAATAGTTTTTATTAGTTCATAACATTTATCAAAACAAAAAGTTGGATTTATTAAAAACTCATATTTTGGAGTTGCCTTCTTCATTGCTTTTCCAGATCAGTCATAGAGTTGTTTCAAAGACCCTGAGTGATAAAAGTAAATTCCCTTTTTTCCACTGGATGCTCCTCAAAGAAGGGTTTCAGTATTCAGCAATTGTCCGAGTGCTCCTGCACTTCAGATGGACCTTGATTGGTCTCCTTGCTCCAGACACAGAGGAGGGAGAGAATTTCCTGAGGACTTTTCTTCCTTTGCTTATCAGGAATGGAATTTGTGTTGTTATATCACAACAATTCTCAATGACTGCACATCGAGCACCCTTCAGGGATTCCAGCTTTTCTCAGTGGAAACAAGTCAATGTTTTTGTTCACTTCACAGAACACATTATTCTTTCAAGCACATTTCATATTTTTCATCTAACACTTGACACTTTGTCAGAACCCATTAGAGAGAAAATCTGGATCACCACAGCTTTGGGAAACTATATAATGCAACATCTTGGATATCACAAATACATCCATAGTATTTGGAGCTTTGAATTTATGCAAATGATAAGGCCAAGATATGGTGCTTTTGAATCCTTTTCTTTTATAGACTCCCAGTATGAAGACAAGAATTTTCAGTGCTCTTTTTCAAAGCACGTTTCTTCTGTCAAAGGCCGGAAAAGATGCACCCAAAAATTCCAGTGGATACAGAAGATGAATTGAATGGGATATTGGTTGAAAACAGTGACTCTGTTTACATGGTCTTTATGACTCTGGCCCACATCTTGAAGGCTGCATATTCATCCAAATCCTGGAGGAGAAAGAAAGAGGCCCAAGAGACACTGGAGGCTCAAAGGCTGCAGCCGTGGCAGGTATGGGTCTCAACAAGGATCCAACAAACTAAATTCCTCTGGAGAAGGAATCCATTAGGGAATTTATACAAAATGTTCCTTTGTTGTATGCACCATGTCAGTCTATGTGACTTCTTTCACAAGACCAGAGTTGGTTGATTACATTTTTTTAATGTAATTCCCTTAATAGCACTCCAATAAAGTTGAATTAGCTCCTGTAGTCATATTTTCTATCTTATCTACCTGGCAGCAGTTGAGCTTGGGAACTTTCATCTTTCATGTATTCTGGTAATTGACCATTCTTTTCAAGCAGTTTATGAATAATCTCTCTCTCTCTCTTTTTTTTTTTTTTGCTGTTGTTCAATTTATTTGATACCTGCTGTCAAACGTTCCCTATAATTCATCAAATGTGACTATTGCATTTTCTCAATACATATATTTTTAAAATATGATTGACAAATTTAGTTGAACCTTCCTTGTTCACTTATGAATTTACTGGTAACATTTGTTGTCCTAATTAAGCATATTGGCACATTAAAAACAAAAACTGTAGAAGAAAAGGGAATATGTAAAAATATCTGGTGGAATAACAAATCAAGGTTTCTACTTTTAAAATTCTCGGATGTTTCCATTCTAGTTCCATCCCTTTCTTGAGAAGAATGAGTTCTGCAATCTTTCCCACTGGAAACTTTATATTGACCAAAACGGAGAAATAGCTGCAGATATGGACATTGAGTTCATGGCGATTTCGCCTGATGGGGATTTGATTAAAAGGAAACTGGGGAGTATTGAAAGAAAGAGAATTATTATTAATGAAATTGCTCTTTCATGGCTTAATATGCTCAACAAAGTGGGTCAAATTTTGCTGCATTTTTTTCATTTTTGTAAATATTCTCACTCATTTCAATTCTAGTTAATTCTAGTCACCATGGCAGATGACTTGGAGTTGAATGTACAAAAGAGAAAACTTAACATTTTGTTAGATGGATTCTGGGGACTTCAGTACTATCCACAAAAGTGTCCTTCAGATGCCATGATAAGGAATATTCTTTTAAATTGATTCAGTCATGTCCAATATTGGATGCTGGGTAATTATTCTTTAGGATGGGGCCATGGATCAGGCTGGTGAGAAATATTCAAGTGCTGGCAGTTGCTAATACTGTAGCCTTAGGTTCTTTTAACCAGCATCTGAATTAAGGTTTGCACTGAATCAGTTGAAATACAGACATGAGGTCTGTTAGAGGTCCTGTTGGTTCATGTGAGAAATAAGCCTCACTTTATCCAGATTGAGGAATATCTCTCTTGAAAAATCACTGGTGTTCTATAATCTTTTTAAGCATCCCAAACCTGGCCAGAGTTATCCATATCTTCTCTTTCACCCCACTGGGATAAGCAATAAGCCTTCTGCTATTCTGAAGAAGCTTCAAAGATGTTCATGATTCACATGGGAGAATTTGAAATGAAATTCTACTTAGATTTGGGGTTTGGCTTGTAAGAAGGCACTTCAGCTGAAAGATCAAGTTGGGACACCCACTTATATGGAAAGACACATCTACATTTCTTATTAGTTAAATATGAATCCTCCATTTTGCACCAAGGGACTTAATGTAGCTAGCAATTTTTATCTTTATTTAAATTTAATGCAAGATCACCATACTGTTCTTTTAAATCATAATTTTGTCCAGAATGGAGAAATGCATGTTAACAAGGTGAGGAGGAGGAGCCAAACTGCTTGTCACTTAAGGCTGAAACCTTTTCAATTCCATCCTCACAGTCTTTCTTAAGGAGAAAAGTCCTTTATTTTAATGTTAGATGCCAAAAGCAAAACAGAGTGAGTAAATGAACAATCTGCCCGTATTTATCTCTCCATTCCAAATCTGTTTGGAATGAGTCAATGATTTCATATTTATCTAAGTGAAGCCCAGAATCTATTTGGCTAATGTTAATGTCTGCATCCATTTTCATGCATGCTTCATTCCAATATATATTCTTCCACATTTCTTCTTTTTCTGCTTAGTCTCTGCCTCAGTCCCAATGTGTGGAAAGTTATCATCCTGGATTCGTCAAGCGGAAGCGAGAAGGAGAGCCTGCTTGCTGCTATGACTGTATTCCTTGTCCTGCGGGGACCATTTCCATTGATGAAGGTGGGGGGAAAAAAGGGAATAGACAGGACTTGTGAAAGTGGATTCATCTGAAATATGGTCATACAAATACAAGTCAAAAGACAGATTGAAACTCATCCTTTTTTGTTTTTGCTAGCACTTCAGCAGTTTGATTCTCACAGACTCAGGGTTGACTCAGCCTTCCATCCTTCTGAGGTCAGTAAATTGAGGACTCAGATTGATGGGGACAATTGGCTGACTCTAAACTGCTTAGAGATGGCTGTAAAAACAATGTGAAATGGTTTATAACTCTAAGTGCTATTGCTATTATCTTCAAATTGCACAATTTCTTATTTAGAGGGAGGGATAGCAGAAAAACCTTGAGGAAAGGCCGAGGAAGAGGTAGGTGGTGTAGCAGATTGGACAAGCTTCTCTACTGCCAGAAAAAAATCTCTTCTGTTTCTAGTTTGGATTCCAGATTATTTGCAGAACTAACTTTTTTTCTAGCTAATTCAATTTCAAAAGACAGCCATCCCACATCAAATATATTAAGAAGAGCCAAAGCTCAGGATCCAGGAAATGTATTTAGAAATATTAATTGATTCATTATCTTCCTCTAACAATATAGGTTCGGCAAATGACAGAAGAAATCATTCAGGTTCCAGGACTTCTTCCAATTTCAGAAACTATAAAAATATCACCTTTTTTTAAACAGAAAATTTTATTCTTACCTTCTTTGTGTATAGATTTTAAGCAATACTTTTCAGAAAATGCTGCTGGTAACACATTTTGTTGCAAGAAGGTATTTCTTAAAATGTGAAAGTACGGAATAGGTTTTTTAAATGTTGCTTTTTTGTTTTACTCAGACACAGAAAAATGCAACAAGTGTCCTGATGAAAAATATCCAAATGAGGACAGAATCCAATGTATCCCCAAAAGAATAACCTTCCTGTCCTATGAAGAACATCTCAGCATCCTCCTCATCTCCATTGCCCTTCTCTTGTTCCTAACTACAGGACTTGCTTTAATCATATTCCTTAAATACCTAGAAACTCCCATTGTGAAAGCCAACAACAGAGACCTCTCTTACATCCTCCTGGTCTCCCTCCTGCTTTGCTTCTTGTCTCCTTTTCTCTTCATTGGTCAACCAAGGGAAGCCACTTGTCTTCTCCGACAAACAGTTTTCAGCATCGTCTTCTCAGTTGCCGTTTCTTCTCTCTTGGCCAAAACCATCACAGTGGTTCTGGCTTTCCTGGCCACAAAACCAGGAAACCGAGTGAAGAGATGGTTGGGGAAGAGCTTGGCCAACTGCATCATCCTTTCTTGTTCTAGTGTCCAAATTATGATCTGCTCCATCTGGTTGGGAATTTCTCCCCCATTCTGTGACTTGGACTTCCATTCCCAGCCTGGAGAGATCATCCTGCAATGCAATGAAGGCTCTGTTTTCATGTTCTACATCACCCTCAGCTACATGGGCTTCCTGGCTGCCATCTGCTTCACAGTGGCTTTCCTGGCCCGGAATCTCCCTGGAGCCTTCAATGAAGCCAAGCTGATCACCTTCAGCATGCTGGTCTTCTGCAATGTCTGGGTCTCCTTCCTGCCCACTTACCTGAGCACCAAGGGGAAATACATGGTGGCTGTGCAGGTCTTCTCCATCTTGGCCTCCAGTGCTGGTCTGCTGGTCTGCATCTTCCTCCCCAAGTGCTACATTATCATTCTGAGGCCAGACTTGAATACAAAGGAGCATCTTACGACCAGAAGAAATGTATAGATGTGAGTTAGAGGAATTTCCACTCTCAACATATTCCAGCAGACCAAGCATAGAAATTGTTTCAAGGTATCCCATGACATCGCTGGGGCGATGATTTTGAGCTGATATAACAAAGTGCAATTCGAAAATAGCGTACTCCATCCTTGTCCAGTATAATTTCAAGGTGTGTATAGTCTGGATTAGCCATCAAGTCAAATTATGTAGAAATAAAATAAAAGAAGAGCTGAAATACAGCCAAATAAGAGTCTTACAAAACAATTCCTGAAGAATTGAGAGTATCCACATTTAAATGTCCAAGGTTCCATCTGTTGCTTCTTGTCCTGCCTTTTGATGCTTTGGAGAATAGGTTGACTCTCTCTTCTTTTTGGCAGCCCCTCAAATATTGAAATACTACTATCATGTCACCCCTAGTCCTTGTTTTCATTAAAAAAAGATGTTTAATGAAATTCCAGCAACCATTCTTTATTTGTTTTACCTTCACTCCCCTAATCATCATTGTTGCTCTTCTCTGTCCTCTTTCTAGAGTCTCAACATCTTTTTTACATTGTGGCAACCAAACCTGGTTTCATTATTCCAAGTGTGGTCTTAGCAAGGCACTGAGATATAAAGATGGGTCCTGGCCTTATTCAGAAGACCTGTTTTTAACTTTTGGAAATGGAAGTTTGCAAATTCAAAGAAATTATCACATAGTTTCTCAAGTTTAGCAGATTTTTTGGGGGGGTTGTGTATCTCTTCCTTCTTGGCTTTATCATGGCTGTGTTTTTCTAGCAGCCAAGAAATTCTCAGTGTTCCTCATTCCTTCTAAGAATGAGATGAACATGTAGCATTTAAGGACTGTGTTAAAATTTGCCCCTTTAAACAATCTGGAGAAAGTCTGTTTTTGCTGATGCACCTGCAGAAACATGTAGCAATATGGTCAAGTTTTCTAGTGTCTTCTGTTATTAAGTTGTTTTGGAGAGAAACTGTTAGTAATATACATGTGCTGATTTTCTTCAAACCATGTGTGCAATTAATGAGTTTTCAAAGATTGATGTTAAATGGTTATTTTTTAAACTCTAATTGTTCATTTTTAAAATCTGGTTTTCTTCTCTGTGTTCTCCTTTGAGCAATATATTTTGTTGACAGCTGGTCTAAATATAGATGAGCTAATGTTTGATTAACAACCTTGCACAGTTGGTTGAATTCAATTCCTGCAGGCCTCTTTCGCTGTAGTTATAATCTTTTTTGCTTTATTGTATCCCTGGACTTTGTCTTACTTAAGCAGCATACCAATTTTGTGTGCATGGGTTGACAAATGTTTACAAAAAAATAAGTAAGGGAGAAAGCAATAATGTTCAAAAAATGTTAAATAATTTAAACTGTCAAAAAAGATATCAACGAATACTTTTCAATACACTTCACAGACGTTATAAGGACAATTATATTTTAACTTCCATCTTCTTAAGGTTACCTTGTGACTTTTTTATCTATATTTTCTTCTGTATGAAAACCATAAATCACAACTTCATTTTTAGCCAAAATATCCATAATGGGTTTCCAATCACCAATACATGGAGATACATGCCTTTCAAAGGAGGCAGTTTGTTCATCTCAGGAAATTCTGTCAGTTTCACAAGCCGTTCCTTCCTGGTGGGTAATTCTGAATGTTTCCTTGCACATTGAGTAATCTCAGCACAATAATCACATATTAAAACAATGTTCCATGACATTTTCCTAACTGACCATCCATCAATCCTCAAAGAAAATATTGAACATTTAGCTTTAAAATCCTCTGTATTATCTTTTTTACATGTCCACCAAGCATTATAAAATGTCCTTTCACATTTTTCATATTTCCAACTCTACAAAACTTTTAAATAAAAAGACCCTGATGTAATATCTGGAAATCTGCTTTAGTAGAATTGGTTTGAGAACCTTTATCAATGTAATTTCTCTCATCTTTGTTCTTAGTGCTCCTCATCTTACTATTTATCTCTTTCCCAAACTGAAGTGGGTAGAAAGAACAAAATGTCCAGAACCCTTAAAAAGATAGTATTATGGGGAGCTTCAGGATCTCTCAGGGAATTTTGTCCATTTCCTTTGGACAACCTCCTCCCAGATCACAACACCAGACCATGCACTTTGACCTTTGTTAGGATATGTGCAGAGTAACCCTTATATAAAAAGGATACACACACGGAAATGGTTTACGAGAATAGTTATGAATAAATATACAGCCACACAGAGTTGAACAAGTTGTGTTAATGTTTACTTGAAGAAATAGCACAGTCCAATAAACAGTCCACATCATACACATTTGTAACAGTCCACAAAATATCCAGTTATAAAGTCTTCTTACTGGTTCCATGTATTTTACAGTAGACAAATATCAAACCATAATACAACAGATAACCTTCGATATCAACAGAATATCAAAATAAACAGGGTTAGTCAGTATCAGTCCATAGTCAGTCTGTATCAGTATCAAGAGAGAGATCATCAGTGAAAAAGAGAAAAGAAAAAGAATTAAACCATGATCTATAGCTTCCTCTGATGGCAACTTGTAGCATAATTAACCAACCAGAACACAGCATAATACATTACACTATTTTTCCTTAAAGCTACAAACTGTAGTTTATATATTGTCAACCCAACTACGTTATTTACATATACATAACAACCTTCCTTGTTCAGATCAGAAGACATATCATTAATTTTATCCTCCAGATAGCCTGGATAATATTCCCTCCAAAGCCTCAGCCAGATGTTTTGAGGACCCTCCCTAATCTATAAAGAGGGCTATCAGCAGATCTAGTGAAGGTGGGGAAATATTGCTTTTTCACCCCACATCACCATTAGGTAATCTCCAACATGGTCTCTTACAAATATTCACTCAGATTCCATTTAGTTTTAGCAAGATAAGGCAGAAAACATCAGAGATTACGCATCAATCTGGGACTAGATTGGAACTAGCACTGAGACTAGAATCCTAAGGGCTACACAGTGGGGCAACCCTTGAGTAGTAGATCAGATGTCACCAAATATGGCCAAACATCTACTGATCCTTATGAGGATGCTCCTACCTGTTCCTTCAGCTCCCCTCTTTAATTCAAACCTCAAGTAAACATTTACAGGCCAAGAAACATTATCCTCCCAACTGGATACACCAGGAATTTGGGAACTACCAACAGAAGGACTTCTTCCAATTTTGTAAACTGTAAAAATATATCTGTTTTTTTTTAAAAAAACAATGATATTCTTCTTACCTACTCTCTGTAGAGATTTTAAGCAATGCTTCTTGGAAAATGCTTCTAATAATAAATGTTCTTGAAAAGTGAAAGTACAGAATATTTTAAAAATACATTGGTTTTTTACTCAGATACAGAAAAATGCACCAAATGTCCCAATGAAAAATATCCAAATGAAGACAGAATCCAATGTATCCACAAAGTTATATCCTTCCTTTCTTATGAAGAACATCTGGGAAACATTCTGGTCTCTTTTGCCCTATTCTTGTTCTTAGCCACAGGCCTTGTTTTAATCATATTCATTAAACATCTAGAAACACCCATTGTGAAAGCCAACAATCAAGACCTTTCTTACATCCTCCTGGTCTCCCTCCTGTTTTGCTTCTTGTCTCCTTTTCTCTTCATTGGGCAACCAAGGAAAGCCACTTGCCTTCTCCGACAGACAATTTTCAGCATTGTCTTCTCACTTGCTGTTTCTTCTCTCTTGGACAAAACCACCACAGTGGTTCTGGCTTTCCTGGCCACAAAACCAGGGAATTGAGTGAAGAGATGGTTGGGGAAGAGCTTGGCCAACTCCATCATCCTTTCTTGTTCTAGTGTCCAGATTATTATTTGCTCCATCTGGCTTGGAGCTTTTCCCCCATTCTGTGACTCAGACTTTTATTCCCAGCCTGGAGAGATCATCCTGCAATGCAATGAAGGCTCTGTTTTCATGTTCTACATCACTCTCAGCTATATGGGCTTCCTGGCTGCCATCTGCTTCACGGTGGCTTTCTGGCCTGCAATTTCCCTGGAGCCTTTAATGAAGCCAAGCTGATCACCTTCAGCATGCTGGTCTTCTGCAATGTGTGGGTCTCCTTCCTGCCCACCTACCTGAGCACCAAGGGGTAATTCATGGTGGCTGTGCAAATCTTCGCCATCTTGGCCTCCAGTGCTGGTCTGCTGGCCTGCATCTTCCTCCCCAAGTGCTACATTATCATTCTGAGGCCACACTTGAATACAAAGGAGCATCTTACGACCAAAAGAAATATAAAATGTGTGTTAGAGGAATTTCCACTCTCAACACATTCCAGCACACCAAGCATAGAAATTGTTCCAAGCTGTCCCTGTATATGAGCTGGAGCAACAATTTTGAGTTGAAATAATCAAAGGGCAGATGGAAGATATTGTCCTCCATTTTTATTCAGTATAATTTCAAGATGTAGATAATCTGGATAATCCATCTGGTCAAATTATGTAGAAATAAAATAAAATGGGAACTGAAATACAGTCATATAATAGTTTTACAAAACTAAAAAATTGAGAGTACCCATATTTAACTTTTTCATAAATCTGTAAGGGAGGGAGGTGGGATTGGGCATAAACACTCGTTACTAAATTGCAACTATTCATCCACCTCATTCTTCTGATGACTGACACTCAAGAGATATTTGGAAGGGACTTTGGAGGTCTTCTAGTCCAACCCCCTGCTCAGATAGGAATCCACTTCAGTGTTGGAGCACCCACAACTTCTGGAGGCACGTTGTTCCACTGATAGATTATTGTGTCATGAAATTTCTCCTTAGTTCTAATTGTTTATCTTCTTGATTACTTTTCTTCTGTTGCTTCTTGTCCTGCCTCCTGGTGCTTTGGAGAATAAGTTGACTCCCTCTTCTTTTTAGCAGCCCTTGAAACAATATATTGTCACCTCGGTCCTTCTTTTCATTAGACATACCCAATTCCAGCAACCAATCTTTATATGTTTCACCTTCAGTCCTCTAAACATCATTGTTT